TCGACTTTAAGGTGGCATAAAAACGTGATATAATGAATCTCGTTTATAAAACTCTTCTCCAAACTGAGTGTATTTCAATTTTTTTTTTAATTTCTATACGTACTGTTTTTCAAATTGCATTTAAAAAAATGATATTTCATGAGTGGCGGGATCTTCCTTAGGGCGTAAAATTTCAAACGATTCAGTACATCCAATTCGAGGAAAAGTTTCATAAGCGATTGGCCCCCGGATACCAATTTCATGTCACCTTAATAACGCTGGAAATTGCTCGAAGATTGATTGCTGGATCATTGAGGTAGTCACGCGTTTATTGGCTGCGTAATATTCCGTTTGCACTTTTTTCTTTCATCCGTCAGAAATTACGCACCGCGTAATGATAGAAAATCCAAACGGTCGACCGGAAATTGGGGCAAATCGGCATTTGTTTAATCGTTCATTTTCCGGCGTGACTTTAACTTCTCACAGGATTCTCACGGTGCAACCAATTTCCGGTGTCGGCTGATGTCAGACACTGTTTCAGCTGCAATTGCCGTTCGCAGTTAAACTGCATGCGCCCTGAGAAACGAGATAGATTGGTTGGAGAAAGTTGAAGTTTATTAGGTATTTAATATTTTTCCTCCTTTTATTCGTTTCGGCGGCTCGCAAAGTGTCGGCCATTGATGCTAATAATTATCAAAGGAAGCTGAGGGCCGGTAACATATCAGAACTCATGAATAAGTCATAGTCTCGTCCCTATCCTCTCGTCCTTTGCGGCGGTACATCGTCACCCGAGGCACGCCTTGAATTATTGGGAAAACATCGTGAATCCGTGAAGCGTGATGCGCCCTTCATGGTGAGCCATGGGAAAGAATGCCGTATTTTTCAACTGAAAACATCGGGGAGTGTTTACGATCCTAGACGATCGGACAGAGAAACCGACATGTCGACATGTGCACAAACAGAACCTACTTATACAGAGAGGGAAAAATTCCGTACGTGATGTACAAACCTTATCGCAGAATATATCTTTCCTATTCCTACACTCTAGTGTTCCGACGATCAAATTAAATCACCCCTTTTCATAAGCATATTGCATCACAGCTATTTATGTTCTTCCTCCTTTTTGTATATTTTTCCTAACTAAATTTAACCCTAAAATGAATATGCTAAAATATATTATGTCACATTCATGAGTCCTCGTTCAAAGTCCATCAGTAACCGTATCCGTACCATAAGTACCAATTTTCCACTTATGGTTCGACGAGCCCAAATTCATGACCTAATCTCTCTAATATGAATATAAAATAATTATACAAAGATATATATTACTGAACATCTCGTAATGCTGCACGTACCTTCAGTAGAGTCCTACACTGCATTGAATCAAAGTAATAGTACCAAAGAAATATATATTTAATTAAAAACTGGCCGATCAACGCTTTTGACGAGATATCTCGCGATCCGGTAGTAGCGGACGCTTTTGACGATAATCTAGCTTTCTAGCACCAATATTTTGACATTCTAGATGAATATATTTTATAACTAATTCTATTCGTATAGCTAAAAGGAAGAAATAAATACAGTTTTTATTAATTTAATGAAATTATTTTTATTTACTTTCTACGTGGTATAATTTAAAAAAACATGGTTGGAAAATATTAGTGCCAGGAAGCTAGATTATCGTCAAAAGCGTTAATCCGCTACTACTGGATCGTGAGATATCTCGTCAAAAACGTTGATCGGCTACTACCGGGTCGCGAGATATCTCGTCAAAAGCGTTAATCGGCCAGTATCGGGTCGCGAGATATCTCGTCAAAAGCGTTGATCGGCCAGTATCAGGTCACGAGATATCTCGTCAAAAGCGTTAATCAGCCAGTATTGGGTCGCGAGATATCTCGTCCAAGGTAACGAAAGGGTTAAAAAATATTCAAGGCACAAAATCCTTCTCTGAGAGCCAAATATCCACACACGTTATATCACACATGGTATACGTCATATCGTAATCAGTCTAAACGAACCCAACATATAATTAAAACGATTATTTCATAAACCTTCATCGCCGTCATAATTCAGGCGCCACATAAGACACAAAGTTGCAGACATTCTCAACTCGTTCCCGTTCAAGGTTCATCGCGAACGAGTCGTATTCTTAGCACAGGTGTCAATTCCTCGCCTTGGGTTCAACGAGCTCGAATTTATGACATAACCTCTCCTCGAAATTCCGAGTCGATTCTAAGGATCTCTGCGTATTCTAGGAGCGATATATCTGGATTAGGTTACGCAATGCGCGTCTACGACTCCCGCAGGAATCTCGAAGTTCAGAGGTCGATAATCTCCGATTGGCGATCGAAATCCCTGAAATTCCATTTCCACTCCGAGTTTGGCGGTGCTCGAAAGTGCATTATCCTTTAGGCACGCGAGGGAGTACCTTCTCGCGCGTGCGCGCATGCGCGTGCCAAATCGACGCGCGTTACATAACTTATGCGGAGGAAACGCGTTGCGCAATGTGCGCTGCCGAGATTTAGAAGGATTCCGATGTACCGTACATACATAACGCGTTTCGTGGAAACGCGTTAATTACCAAACAGGTGACTCCGCTTTTTGGAAGCGACCTCGATTTGGGCGCGAGTTGTAAAAAGATGCGCACCTCCGAGATTTAAGATCCCGACGCCACCGCGTGCTTGTAACGAGTACATATATTACAAAATCGTGTCCCCTTGTCGCGTTATCTGGTTATCATCTGCCGTGCGACCTCCATTTTTGTGGAAAATACCCAGTTGCCTAATTAGTTCGCGGACGGTTTGCGTAAATGAGAGGTCCCATGGAGTGGAGAAACCTCGGTAAATCTTGGGTTTAAAGCGACGTTAAAAAATATTCACCTTCATCCCGTTGACAGTTAAACGATGGGAGAAGTACCAGGATCGGAAGAAATATGAACCGAGTTGTCTCACAGGTAACACGGACATTCGGGGGTTCCCATAATTCCAAACGTTTGTTTTTAATAATACTATTTCTACTTCTAATCATTTTAAAGGACGTAGAAAACTGAATTATAAGAATCCATTTACCAAGAATTAGAAAAAAAAAAAGAAACTCGAGACAAGTTCATACCTTCGCTCTATAATCCTATTATCTTCCCGAGATACTCCACAATCGCGTAAAGAAACGTCGTGGCTTTCACAATGTATCCGGCGTCTCGTATGCATTAGATTTACGTTCCCTGGTTAAAAATAATTCGAGAAAAAAAATTCAGGCCACGTGAAAAGGGAATTCTTTTCTTGGAATGTGGTGTTGGTATTTTTCAATTTGGGCAGACATATGATAAATTATGATTTCGAGCATTAAAATCTATGATTTCCTCAGCGAATAACTCCTCGTGTCGGACTGATCGGTCGAGGATGACCCGCAATCTCCCTCGAAGTGCGTAGCTCGTGAAAGCGCACGTCGGCCTCGCTTTGACGAGTCGTAAATTTTCGAGCTCGATCGCTGCAACGTGTCGCGATCCTAATCGATCGCGACGTTTCGGCGGCGGTCTAATATTTGGTCGATCGATCCGGAAGCCGCTCGTCCTATCTCGACCGGAATCTGGATCCAAAGCCCGATCGAGATCGCGTTCGGCACTTACCGATCGGAAAGGAGCGACTCTCTTTTCTCGTTTCTCTTTTCTCGTGCCTCGCCCTTCTTCGGGCCGCTCGCAACACGAGAGAAACCTTCCTCGGACTGTCCCGACGAGAGGCGAGTACTCGCATCGGTATATCGGTCGAGTTAGGTGAAACGCGCTTAGGCTCGCCGGAAGCCCGATGGCGTTTCCTTCTTTTGCTTTGTCGCGTAGCCGCGACATTCTCTGACTCGGCCGCCGATGGACGGATATTATAAATCGAATTAATGGCAACGGGAAAGCGAGTCGCTTAATGTATCTCCGAGAGATGTCGACGTCTTCGTGTTCAATTTCAATACGTACAGGTACGCGAGCACGGCGATTTAATTAAACCGATAAATCAATACATCATTGATATCTCACTTGAAAAGCTATAATTAATGAACATAATAAACTTATGGTAATCATTTTAATTGTTAAGAACATTCCCCTCCAAAATCACTTTTTTTATTTCTAAAGGTACACTCTACGTAGAAATCACATTCGACGCTGAACAGTTTTTCCGTAGAGGATAAAATGTACGAAAAATATAAATAAGCATTACTCTTCGTCGCTGAAATCTCAAGATGCCGGACACGTCAGGTTTTTATTATTTCCCGAGTGCACGAATGTCTCGATAACCGCGGCGCCTTCGATCGGGGGAAGATTCGTTCGAATCGGAACTCGCCGGCGGAACACGTACGAGACGCTGTGGCCGTATCTACTTAAGCAAACGAAGGTGCACCTTAGAAGGCAAGCGAGCGATAGCCGGTATCTTTTATCTCGACGCAGGCTTAACTGGAGCGCGGCACTGAAGAGCGCCTTTAACTTTTAATTCAAGTTCCTGAATCTTTTTACGGCACTGCAACGTGTTGTGTAGTGCGCAATGTCCTGCGCAGTGTAGTGCGCGATGTACTGTGCGAGGCAGTGCGCGATGTACTGCGCGCGGCGGCGTACGACGTACTGCGCAGATTCGGGCACGATGTACTGCAAACAGTATTAGCTAGAGTGGAAGGTTCCATATGACCGCCATGTATTTTTGCGTATACAGTCTTCAGCGCTCCCTCGTTGGGTGGGAATATACATTAAATACTCCCTATCACTTCTCAGTGCCTCATCTAGCGGGAAATTTGAATAGGTGAAAAGGAACGCGGTATAAAATACACATGAAAAATATGTTTCACATAATAAAATATTTATTTCACAACCTTTTTGATAAACATTTACAATGCAAATGATCACTTGAAATGAACACTTACTCCTGATGTCTGTCGAACTCATTTGTTTTGTGGGTACATTTCCTGTATACGTATGATGGGAAGGGCTCCACGATTGGATAGTAGGAATTGCACCGCGTACCAGTAACGGCCTGGGATGCTTTTTCCATATTAAGTATCCTTCCACCCAGCAAGTTTTGTCCACTTTTGACAACTTAAGTACCAGTTAATGCCAGTTAAAAAGTTTCGTTACGCTAGTTAACAAAATTAACTATGATCGATATGAATAACTTAGAATCTCGCAAAAAAGTCAGCCAATTTACTTTCATATATTCTCGAAATCATTTCGGAAAAATTCAATTGGTTTTAATTAAATTTAAAATTAATCATTAACAAAATGCATATAACCTATAAAACGACGCTATATATTTTCCTCCTTACATTGTTGGTTCCTTCGGCGCACAGAAAAAGGCTAATTTCTATTGATTCTTCGAGTTCTTCTTGTATGTGCGGAGGTTACACATTATTGCCATGATTGAATCTGTATCGTTTTCAATCCGTTAACGGTCTTAGATCGGTTCCCACTCTTTGTTGACGTTCAAATAATGCCGAAATCGACGCTTCCCCAGTGGATACCATTGTGCATGCGCAACTTGAGATTAGTACATATTCCAAACCACGAGCTGGCGCTGTCAGTAGACGCTTACCTTCCGCTCTATTTAATACTCTTTGATGTACTGCCTGCGACGTACTTGGCGAGGCAACGCGCATTGCACCGCGCAGAGCACAACGCGACGGCGTACCGCGCGATATAACGCGGCTGCGCAGTACAGTGCGCAGCGCCGCACAACGTACTGCGTAAAGCCATGCACGATGTACTGCGCGCGGTAGCGCGCAATGTACTGAGCGATGCAGTGCGCATTGCATCGCGCAGAGCACAACGCGACGGCACACCGCGCGATGTAACGCGGCTGCGCAGTACAGTGCGCGGCGCCGCGCAACGTACTGGGCAGAGCCGTACATGATGTACTGCGCGCGGCGGCGCGCGACGAACTGACCGAGGTAACGTGCATTGCACCGCGCCAAGCACAACGCGTCGGCACACCGCGCGATATAACGCGGCTGCGCAGTACAGTACGCGGCGCCGCACGATGTACTGCGCGCGGCGGCGCGCAATGTACTGGGCGATGCAACGCGCATTGCATCGCGCAGAGCACAACGCGACGGCGCACCGCGCGATGTAACGCGGCTGCGCAGTACAGTGCGCGGCGCCGCGGCGTTTTCAGCGCGCACGCATAAACGGCGACGCTTCTCTCCGCGCCTGTATACTTACCGTACCTTTATAGGGTTCCGCAAGTATAACAACGCGGATATGTATACACACGTACGTAGACGCTGCGAGCGCGTCGACGAAGAAACCCCTTTGGAATAATCTCGGGCGAGCGAATTCTAAAACCCCGCCGCAAAATGGCGCTCCTCGGCAACGGGAACTCTTCCCGGTTAACGATCTCGAGAATCTTAACGATCGGTAGCGTCCCGGCGGAGCCGGAGAGAGGCGCCCGAGGGGCGAAGAGAGAAAGTGTCATTTATTTCGCACCCCGAGATTGAAGGAGCCAACCTGAAGGCACGGTCGAGGATATTTCAATTCGAGAGCGTTAATAACAATGTCCCGGAAGTGGTACTTGCAAAGGAATTATTGGCAGCGGACGATAAATCTGAACTCAGGGACTTTATGTTCAAAAACGAACTCCCTCTTTTTTTCAGACATACTGTTATCACTCTCAACGTGCGAAAAATATCTTTATTATACTATAATTATTTCTAGACTTAAGGGGGGGTGAAAGTGGCATCTGAGGGGTCAATCGCTCATGAAACTTTTCTTCGAACTGGGTGTATCGAATCGTTTTGCATTTTACAACATAAATATAAAGGCTATAAGGAAGATCCCATTATTCGCGAATCTTCATTTCTTTTTTTTATAAAAAACAAAGGAAGTTCCTATAAATAAATATTTAAAAATTGAAATTTCATGGCCGTCGGACGTTCCTTATAGTCTCCGTAATTACATTGTAAATTTTAAAAAACGATTCGATACACCAAACTTGGAGAAAGGTTTCACAAACTTCTTTGACGTCACTTTCACTTCCCCTTAAATACGAACTTTTTGAATTTTACATATACCTATCTCGATCAAGCCGAACCTACTTTAATCGTTATCTCTAAGGAGAATGTTTCCTTATCGCAAATGGTGGAATACGAGGAATAATAACGTTGGGTCGAAGTGGAGGAGTCCAAAGCGACCAAGGGCCGCGAAACGGTGCGGATCGGCAACGGGAACTCTCCTCGGTTAACGATCGTAAGCATCTTAACGATCGGAGTCCCAGGGAGAGTCCGTGCTCGGAGAAGGGACCGGGGAGAAAAGAAGGAGAAGGGAAGAGAGGAGAGTCGCAGTGAAATCTCGGGGCAATTTTTGATCGGTCGTGCTCGGCTGGGTGGCCACCCAATGAGCGCGGCCTACAAAGGCCGGCCGATCCGATCGCGATCGTGATCGAAATAGCGGCTACGGTGCCAAACGAAAACGAGACTTCTCTATTAAGCGATGACTGTTCACTATATGGATATAACCCTCACCTGATTTCCCACGTCTGGTTAGAAATTCGCTGCTTTTCTATCGCTTCCAACTACACATTCGCGACATTCACTGAATTCGTCGATCTGCGCTCTACCGCTTGGTCAAGCTTTCGAGAGAAAGGAAAAAAGTGTACCGGAAAAACGCTGCACCTCGAGGCGTGTTTTCTCTGACCGGAAACATCGGCAGATATGGCGATAAATGTGCAAACGAAAAAATGTACCCAAGGAAGTCATACCAGTCTTGTCCGTTCCCACGTTTGAATTCGATAGAAAATAACGCCTTTCCTGGGCTGGGGTAAATATGTAGGCATATCTGCCTTGGATCGTCCACATCTAGGTGTTAGAAGTACTAGATGTATCTAGGTAGATACCTTTCCCGACCACTAAAGGACAACCTCTAGGATTAGAGATGTTCACTCCACCGTTTGCTCGAACTTCCGAGCTTATATTGCCTGAGTGTTGCACCTGAGAACGTGCACTCTCAGACCGGAAATCAAGCATCAGAAGATATCTTTAATCTCCGAAAAAATAGGCTCGATCTACCCATCTGATTCGATGTTTCGTCAGATATTCCCACGCTTCTTTACAAATTCGCGTCTTTTCCGTCGTTTTTACTTACTAGAGTCCAACCACAAAGAACAATCCAACGATTTTAGCCTTGCCGTTTGATCAAACTATTGTGAGAAAAACACACTCATGTTTTGCACCCGAGGACATGTTTTCCTAAGCTGAACATCCCATCCATGAACATCGCAAAAGATTAAAAAAAATCGAGACTGCCATCTTGATCTGGCTCCTCCGTTCTTACGGTAAAATTCGTTAAAAAATCCCATCTTTACAATCGCTGGAGAACAATCGCTGGTCCAGGGTTCCGCACTCTAGCGTTCGGTTAAGCTTTCGAGAGAAAGGAAAAAAGTGCACCGAGAACATACATCGTGCGAGCATTGCACCTTGGGGCGTGCTTTCCCAAACCGGAAACCGGGCATCGGCAGATATCGCAAATGGCCGAAAGAGTTGCCTCGATCTGGCCACGCCGGTCTTAGAAGGCTCGTTCCATGCTCCACCACTGCCTGCGGTATAAGGCGGACCGGAGATCGCTCCTTAGATCCTTCGAGCCGCTAGAGATCGAAGGAAAGTGATCATTCGAGACCTTATCTAGCCTCGTACGACTTTATTCGACCGGCGTGTAATCGCATCGATATTTCCGCCAGAAAGTCCACGACTGTGGCCTGCTACTATGCGTTCGTAATCGCGTTTTTTCCGATTGACGCGCATTTTCTTGGCGTACTTAATGCTCCAAATCCACACCGAGTTAATTTATTCAACCGTTTATGGCTTGGCTTAATTGCGTTCCGCTTTGCTGCCGTATTTACTATTAAAGGCTCTCGGACGCTCAAGAATATTTCCTGCCGAGTCGATATTCATCCAAGAATTTAATAACATGTATTTAATTTGAATATCCAAGTGTGACGTTTAGACTGATGATTTCCTTATCACCTTTCCCTGCGTTAAACGTAAAACTGGTTGTCGGCTCTTAAAATTTCTCGATTAATTCCATTTACCAATATCTGAAACATCCAGACGTTTTTACCGGATTTATCTGCTTTCTCTATTTACGTACAATTTTTCTGTTATTTTTATAATTTTTCGGGTATTACGAGCAATGGAAGGACGCGGAGAGGATGCAAACCTCTTCGTCTACTCGGGGCGGTGCAGATAGGCAGAAGTATTCCAGTGTCCCACAATACGCGGGAGATAAATAATAACAGCCTTATCGAAGGTTCGAGAGGTCGGAAAAAGATGATAGATAGCCAGATCGTCGATCTTGGGGATTGCGAGATCGCGAGTGCAGTCGTAAATCCACGGGAGAGCAAAATACACGTACGCGATTGCGTACCGACGTAGCACGACCTATATCCACGGGGCTGGTGAGTCGTTTTAATGGATGGATCTACTAAGAACGACGCCGTAACAAATGCCACTTTGACGTCTCCCCGTGAAATTAGAAAACGGATCGAAATTCCCTTTGATGGGACGGAATTTGAATCGCCACTTGCCCGCTGAACTTGCGAACAGAAAGAGCGGCTCTAATCTACCGATGCCGATACTAATCCATCGAAATCCTACAAGAAAGTTTCGTTTCTACTTGTTACTCTCCCGATTGTACAAGAACACTCCAACTCCTGTTAGAATGTTTATAATAAAGTAACAGGGTGGATGACTAGGCATCTGAGAATTGTAATAGCGACTGGTACGATAAATCCTTGAGATAATTATATATGAAATACCTGCACAAATAAATGTTAGAACTAGAATTCTCGCGGTGGAAAGTACAAATAAAATCCCGGAGAAAAAGAAGTATGTAAAAAATTAATTTATCGGACCGGCAACAAAAGGTGCAACTCGACTCTCATTCGATTGCTCGTGTCGATTCGACCGGGAATATCGAGGCGAAATAGCAAGAATTATGAAATTATTTGTTATTACTATCCTCGATGATCGAGAATCCAACTTCCCATCACATACCCTGTAATGAAATAACAGTGAATAGCCAATCTGATCGCATCCAGCACAATAAATTTCTTTACAATTAGCTAAAGAAACTTTGAAAAACGTTCTTAGAATACAACAAAACTAACAAATTCACTTTTCCCAGTTAAGAACTGAAATAAACAGTCATTTGCCACAAGTACAACAAAGTGCGAAACGTTGTTCGACTTTCATCCGGAACAGAAATAACGAGGTAAAATGTTAAGAATGATAAAATTATTAATTATTACTACCTGCGGCATCCAAAAATTCCAACTTTCTATCACAGACCCCATAACAAAATAACAGAGTATGGCCACGAATCTGATCGCGCCCAGTAAAATAAATCCTTCCACAATAAATAAAAATAATTCCACAATAAATGCCGGCATAAATAAATCTCAAAACACGTTCTCATGGTACAACAAAGCTAACAAAGTCATTTACCACGCCAACGGCGAAGTGCGCAACTTGGCCCGACTTTCGTCCGCCGCGACGAGAATAACGAAGCGAAAGGGCAAGAGCTTTCATTAGGGTAGGGTCCAGAATGCGTCGATCAGTGCGAGGGGCTAAGTGACTCATTGTTACCGGGTGGGTACCGCGAAGCATTGTTAGTTAGCGGACCAAGTGCCGGCGAGCCGCGAGCTGCTCGCGGCAGATCGGTATCGGCTGTCTAGCGGTACACAGGCGACTCCGTTACGGGTATTTCTTTCGCATCTTCCCGCGATACCATCGAGATTGTTATTAACAATATCAGGAATCTCCGGGGTCCGAGCCACCGTGGAGAATGCGCCGGTAAAGCAGGGTCGTCGCCTTGCGACGGCGCTCTT